TCTCCTGTGTCTGCTGCCAGCCACCAGAGCTCATCGAAATTTAGGAGGTTTCATTGTCGAGACAATGAGCATCGACTCCTTGTAAATGTAAATGTGCATGTCTGTTTGCTTCTCTGGAGGACCATGGCTATTCTGTGTAAAGAAGAGGGCATGCAAGTTTGACCTTCATAGGGAATGATCCCATTAGAGAACACTTATGTTTTTATTGGAAACAGCACTGGGCACTCAGTGAACAAGAGGGAGGATCCCATTAATGTCAGGCTACCAATTGCAAAGCTGTTTCCTAATATTCCCTGTGTGCTTGTCTGTTGATCACCATTGAAAATTGTGGAGCCTTGTGATGACTCAGAGATCACTGAGGGTGGAATGAGCAGTACTGAGTGGAATCGGAGCTCACTGTGACAGCGTCAGCAGACTAAGCTGATTGCAAGCCAAGGCCACAAGTCCTCAGTGATTGATCTTGCAAATGACTTTTTCCATATTGATCTCAGACCATATCCAAATGCAACCTGCTTTTGTGTGGGAATATCAATCATGCACACACACTGAAACAAACAAACAAACAAACAAACAAACAAAAGAAGATGTATTTGACTAATCAGATTATTGTGAACATTCACCAAGAAGTATGTTTGCTTGATACAGGTGCCAAGGGTAGTAATACATGATAATGACAAGATCGACATAGAAGGTAACTATGCAGTGACTCCAATGACTTGGTGGCACACAGAACTGACATGTGCTTGATAAATCCAGCACAGGTGCACAATCCTGTGGAAATGGGGACTTTCTCTTACTCTCTTATGTACAAATCACCTGTCACATTCTTCAGCCAGTGAAAACCAGAATAAATGTTTCGTGCCTGACCCAGGAACTGAGAACTCAGTGCCTGCCAGGCTGCTGGATTTGAGGACATGGAGTCCTCATGGGAAACATCACACAGCTGCTCCAGGACTGACCCCAGAGATGACCAGCTTAGAAAGGGAGCCTGAGTAAAAACCAGCAGCACCTGAGTTCCCAAATCTGATGCCTTGATCAGTGCAGGAGTGTCGATGATGGTTGAACCAGAAACCCAGATACAAGGGGAGATGGTGGTTCTGGCAGCCCCTGACAGGTGCAGCTGTGGGTCACTGAGCAGTGGTTCTGTTTCTGTGTGGGATGCTGGGGTCTGAGGTCCTCAAGGCAAATGGTAGAAGGGAAGAACAAGCATCAGGATGGAGAATCAATAAAGGAAGAAAAGCCAGGGCGTCCTTCACAGAATTGACCTCACTCACTAAACAAGTCCCATTCAGGCCTAGAACTCATGTGGAGGCCCATCCCATAGGTAGGAACTGGGAAGAAAGGAGCCTTCAAGAGCATTGCCATGAAACTCATCACTGTGTGTCTGTGTGTAAATAATTGAGCAACATAAATGTGGTGGGATTAGGGCCTCATGCAGGATCCTCAGATGGGACCTTCAAACAGAGGAATCTGAGGACACCAGAGGCTTCCAAAGGCCCTAAGAACTTCCAGACTCAGAAGTGTTGGCAGTGTCAGTGCATTGGGCAGCTCCAGGAAAGGGGCTCCCTGGTGGCTCATGCAGCCCTTGTTTGGAGGTTCCCTGCAGAGTCACTGGGGTTTAGTAAGATCAGTTATCTGTGTCTAGAGATGTTAAAGCACATGGAATCCCTGTGGGAGCATTCTGAAGTCAGGGTTCTGTCTTCAATTCTCAACTAGTGCCAAGGAGATGCCCATGCCCTCTGAGGCCAGACAGGACTCCCCCCCTGCAGGACTCAGGCTGGGCAGCAGGAGACGTGCAAGACCCACAAGTTCAGGGCTGCAGGCCCAGCATCAGGTGGAAATGGAGCTGGGCAGAGATTCCCTCTGAGGGCCTGCATCCCTCCCTCTTCCCATAAAAACACCTAAAGTCGAGTTGGACATGAGGTGACTGCAAATACCCAATTCCATTAGAGCATTTACGAAAGTATAAAGCATGAAGACCACAACCAATAAGGGTATTTCTATGGCTTCTTCATATCTCAATTATAAGTAGCTTGACACAGGGATTATTCTATTAACTCACCAGGTGGAGAATTTTGTAGACACACTGGCCCAGTAATAAGACATTCATGTACCAAGGCCAGACTGTCCCAGGTGTCTCTGTGTCACTCCAAAGTTGGGGTCACCATGAAGGAGCATGTCTTGCAGGGCTTTGTGTCTCAGGGGGATGAGCTATTTCTTTACAGAACTTAGGGACCTGGCAGGGGCCACATATCCTCACACAGGGATTAGGACTGGGTCTATCAGACTCCCACTGAATGTGGTCTCTGTGTCCTCCAACTTTTCTCAGGTGGGGTCAAGACTTCAGCTATGAAACACTCTCCCTCATGAATATGCAGAGGAGAGAAGTGGTCTAGGTTGAATATGAGCGTGCCTGGTCCCTGAGAGCATCACCCATGGCTACACCCTCCCCTAAAGAAGTCCTGACAGCACAGCCCCTCACCATGGACTGGAACAGGAAAGCCCTCTACCTGGTGGCAGTGGGTATAGGTAAGAAGCTCTCCAGTCTCTGGGTTGATGCGGGTACCAAGGAAAATAAAGAGACACTTCCACAAATTCATGTCTGCTATCCACAGGTGAGCACTCCCAGGTGCAGCTGGTGCAGTCTGGGGCATTGGTGAGGAAGACTGGGGCTTTAGTGAAGATCTCCTAAAAGGCTTATGGATACACCTTCACAGGCTACTGAATACATTGGGTGCAAAAGGCCCCAGGGCAAGGGCTTGATCAGATGGGGAGAATCCCCCAATGATAGTGAAAGAAAGTACACACAGAAGTTCCAGGGCAGAGTCACCATGACTGCAGACATGTCCATGAGTAGAGCATACATGGGGCTGAACAGTCTCAAAGCTAAGGACTTGGCCATGTATTACTGCATGAGAGACACTGTGATGACCCACATGCTGAATGTGTCACAGACCATGAGGGGTGGGGCAGTATGGCTGGGTAGAGGACATGGCAGGGAGATGGGTCTCCTGACTCCCTCACACACAGGTGGGATCTGAGAGTAGGACTTATGCTGCCATGGGCACATCAGAAACTCAGGGAATGTTCCAGGAGACCAGATATACTGTGGGGAAGAGGCAGGGACGATGCTGCAGAAAGGGCTCCTATTATCCGTTGTCGTTTTGCAGGGGAACCATTTAGAGCCTCCTGGTCCTCTGAAAGAAGTGTTTCATCAAGGCTTCATCTGGGAATCCTTGGTCGGGGTTACCTTGGGGATTTGAACAAGGTGATGCCTAGCAAGTTCTAGTGCATTTGCTTATTTGTGAAAACTGGATTTGTGATTGGGGAAAAGTAAGTATATGAAAGTAAAGGGGGGTTTCTATGTTCTTGTCTCTGGCCCAGCATCGCACACATGACATTCTGACAGCAAAGTCCACATTCCAGCACAGTCTGTGACATCAGCAGCTGTTCGTTTCAGCCCTCCCTCAGGGTGAGATCATGTGGATTCTCCTCACCTGAGAACAAAGCCCCATGAGTGCCCCTGTCTCTGAGCTAGTACTGATGTCATCACACAGCAAGGGGCATCACAGGGACACCCTTGACAGTGGAACACCCACATTCAGCCTCTACTATTTTCCTATGTCAGTGGAAACAATTATCACATGCCTGGCTCTGCAATCTGCACACATTGTTCTTGTACATTCTGGAGGTCAGTCTGAAAGTCTTAGTTCAAACCAGCTTCACTTACCATCCATGGAACTTCACCCCCATGCATGGAGTACCATTTTCCATTTAGCACATCGATACTATGAGTACATCAGGCTCAAGTTCAGAGGATGCCCATTCTGTGTGGCCATAGTGACAAACTCCCACTCGTCACATGCAGACATGAATAGAGACTGTGAGAGAGAGGAGATGGTTCTTATGAAATTAACTGTCAAAGAATCAGGGGGCTCCATTATACTCCCTCCCCTGCTTCTGGATAACAGCTGCACTGAACATCCATGTAAACACAGATACTAATAGAGAGCATCAGGCTGAACCCACAATGATGAACAGTTTAACATAACATCAGATCCACCAGCTCCAGTAATGGGAGGTTATTTGAAAGATTTATTCATCCTGTAATCAGTAGATAAAGAAAATAATGCTCTTCATATAAATTATGATTTTATTTATACCTGTTATTTTCTGTTAGTAGTTTGCACCAAGGTTTTCCATAATCTAATTTTATAAAATTTCAACATACTTACCCCCCAGTTTCTATATAAATATTCACCTAAGCACTTATACTTATGACCGAGTTTCTTTTGCATCCCAAATGTGTGAGCCTACTTTTCCCACAGAATGCTAGAAGATGGAAAACAAAAGTGAGGCATTGAACATGCTGCATATTCAGCCCCAAACTGCACTAAAGAAACATGTTCCTGGTCACACCGCCCACTTCTGGGAAGGGTTCCCGCTTCTGTCTCCTAAAGAACCACACAAACCCTCCATTTCCTCCAATACTGTATCCACAAGCTATGGGGTCACACTGTCTCCTTAGTTCATAGTCTGATCACTTTGTAGAGGAAATAGGACAGATGCAACTTCCGATGACAAGAAGAGGAACCTACTGGAATTTTAATGCTCCCTGTGGTCATGAGCTTTGAATTTCCTTGGTGTGCTCATTACTGCTGATTTTCAAAGGGACATCTCTTATTTTAAAATATCTCTGATTTATGAAAATTCACTCTTCTTAGGTCATGTACACATCTCATGGACCAGTACAGGCTCAAAATGTAGGGGAGTAACTGGTAACAGACATGTGACCTTAGATATGCCACACTCTGGGACCATATCCCTTCATGTCAACATCTAGTCCCAGAGCTCTCTATATAGCTGGAGGGCATGCAAATAGGGCTCATCTGCTCATGAAAAACAGCCCAGCCCTGACCTTGCAGCTCTGAGACAGGAGCCCAGCCCTGGATTCCCAGGTGTTCCCAGTCTCTGCTCAGGCAGAGCACAGACCACTCACCATGGAGTTTCATTTCATCTATGTTTTCCTTGTTACTGTATTAACAGGTAATCTATAGAGAATGGGAGACACTGAGTGTGTGAATGGATACATCCAAGAGATAAAATGGATGGGCAAGAGTTTTCTGACCTGATGTCTTTGTGTTTGCAGGGGTCCAGTGTGAGGTGCAGCTGGTGGAGTCTGGGGGGAGCTTGGTGAAGCCTGGGGGGTCTCTGAGACTCTCCTGTGCAGCCTCTGGATTCACCTTCAGTAGCTACTATATGAACTGGGTCCGCCAGGCTCCTGGGAAGGGACTGGAATGGATCTCAGCAATTGCTGGTAGTAGCACATACTATGCCAACTCTGTGAAGGGCCGATTCACCATCTCCACAGACAATGGGAAGAACACACTCTACCTGCAGATGAACAGCCTGAGACCTGAGGACACGGCCATGTATTACTGTGAGAGAGACACAGTGAGAGGAAGTCATTGTGAGCCCAGACACAAACCTCCCTGAAGGAGGCAGAGGTTCTGGGATGCAGGGGAAGCTCAGGGCACCAGGGGGCGCTCAGGGCACACTGAGTACTGGGTCCAGTTCTGAAACAGCTGCAAATGCACTTTAACTGTTGGATTTTGCAGGTGTGGGGTTAGTTTTCTACACAGCAGTTTCTTTCAGGGACCCTGCCTTCCTTCATGATTCTGTGATTACTTCTTAACTATGTGAATTGCAGAGGCTTGCTGTAATAGGAGGAAAACATTTTCACACACACAGGAGGCAGGAAGTCACAACATTTGCTTAATGTTATCCTAATGAATCATAGTGAAATTATTAAATTTTCATGACCCATATCAGCTAAATTCAACCAGACATTCTGCTGGGCCCAACAGTGCAGCCCAATCCCACACAGCTCAGAGTCCAAGGCAGTCAGCAGCAGAGACATGCATGCTGAATGGTGGGGAAAAACGCATATGAGCACAATGCCAGATGAAAAGTGCCCTGGGGGAGACAGTATTGACCTGAGTCCATGTTCACGATGACCAATAGCAGTTGTCATCATGTAGGTGTACAAAGACACAGACCCTAACTTGGTACAGGTGTCCCGGATGGTGATGTCACACACAAAGAGGGACTATGAAATAGTTTGTCACTTCATTGTGGAGTCTGTTGAGAGCAGGACAGACTTTTCAGCAAGTCAGCAATGGCTGTTTTATGTCAGGTAAGGAGTCTGGATCAGTATCTTATTGTTCATCCGTGGCAAGGTAGAAAAAGGTCTTGCTCACAGGATGGGTTTGTGTGGTTCTAATCTCTCACATGCATGGAACTAGAGAGAATCACCACTTTCTCAATATGTTTCCCACATGTGCACTAGAGGAGAGAGAGAGGGATGAATCTTAGCATGTCAGCATCCAACATGAAAAGAAAAAAAAAACTAGATCTTTACTTCTTATTCCATCAAACTGCTAGGACTCATGAGTGAGACCATGAAGCAAACAACCATCGTGGGTAGAAGACAAACTTAGCCCCTAGAAAATGAGAATGCTTGTTATATGTATGCAACAAGAGGGAATAATAATAAAGTGTATGGACATCTTAGCTCATAATTTAGGCTGGAACCTGTTCACTCTACAAGATATTTAGCTTGCTTTGAAGGACTTGCATCCCTTTTCTGCTTCCAAAGATGAGAAGTTTCCACAGGACTATAGGAATCCTCTGTTTTGGGAGGTCTGCTGGAGTAGCCTTCCAACTGGACAGAAACACAATTTGATTCCTTTGGTGTTCCTGGGAGTGACTGTGTCACTCAAACACTCACACATGAAAATCTGAGACTCATGTTATTGTGTTAGGATGCCTGGCCTTTGGACAAGTTTTTCCCCCATGGTGGAGCCCTGATGAATGGGGCCAGGGCCTTCATGAGAGAGGACTGAGGAAGCTGCCTTGCCCCATCTATCCTCTGAGATTAGAGTGAACAGCCATCTAGGAAGCAGATTCTTACCAGTTATCTAAACAGTCTGCATCTAGTCTTGGATTGTTCACATCCAGATCTGTGAGAAATACATTTCTTTTGTTGGCCGATGCCCCCATGGTGCATCTGTGCACCGAGAGTCCATCAGGCCAAAGTCTTTTGTTACAGCAACCAGAATGATTTAGCACTGTCGTGTAACATGATTACACAGGTTGAATATCTAGAGTTTCACTGCTGTTTGTGTTTTAAAAGGTACTCCATGGGTGTTCTTCCAGTGATGTTCCAGGGCAGTTTTTCTCTGTTATTTTCTTCCACAGATAAAGTGTTCTGATTGGACATTGTGGGAGGCTCCTAAACAGATGTAGCAGGAAGGAAGCATTACACATGAGACTAATCCATGAACCCTATCAATATTTGCCACATCAGCATAGAGTGAGGTCCAGATTGCACTGGAGATGAAATCCATTATTCTCCCAGTCCCCATGTTACAGGGACATGGATGATGTGTGCTTGAGGAGATGGACAGGAGCAACACTCAGGAGGTGCATTGGCCAAGACTGTTAAAGGGTTCACTTAGGTTTGAACATTTTAACTAAGCATGCCATGTTTTCAAATTTCCCAGATATTTCATATAATAATAACAGTGTGGCTTTTGGATCATAGTATCCCCTTGCATATTAATGGTTTTTGTGTGGTGCACACATCAGTCACTTGAGGTGACAGTTGGTAAGTCACTGGGGGAAGAAAGGGAGCAGGATATGCACAGAGAATGTCCATGGCAGTTAAAATACTCTACATGTGTTTGGTCCTTCTTCCCACCTGCTTTCTCAACATTGATGGACTCTTGGTGCACAGATGCACAATGGACAGGAGTTCTGTCTTGAAAGAACAAGATAGCAGCCCTTACAGTGACGACTGACCTCACACCCGGGAGGCTGATGATGGTGATGAACCTCCCTCTGTGTCAACATATGGACAAGGTTGCAAAGGGCATTTATTCTGAGGTGAATAGCATGGAACACTGTGCATGTGGAATACCTCAGTGAAGTAAATTTTGTTAAACTGATCAATGGTAGAAATTAGCAACAACAATAACTCTATGGCACACAGACTAATCATCCTCTTATAAAATTCCCTCTTTCACAACAAAGATGCTTGTCCCTCTGAGCAGAGTAGGATTTTTCACTCACGGACTTCACTTGTCTGTTCCTAATTAGAGGAGTAAATGTAAATGGGGTGCTCCATGTGCTGATAAGCCCAGCCCCACTACTGTGCCTGCACTTGAGAGAGCAGCCCTAGCTCCCATGTTCCTGCTGTTGGCACTCACTTCAGCAGTTAACACAGAGGCAGCACCATGAAATTTGAGCTGAGCTGGGCACCTGTTCTTATGCTTTTACATGTAACATTATGAATAAAGTGGGGTTTGAGTGTGTGGGTGTGTGTTTACTCCTAATGAGAGACTCTTGTCTACAGGTGTCCAATGTGAGGTGCAGCTGATGGAATCTGAGGGGTACCTGAGCCAGCCTGCCAGAGTCAGAAATTCCCCTGCAAAGACGCTGGATTCAGTTTCAGCGACTATTCCATAACCTGGATTAGCCAGCCTCCAGGAAGGAGACTGGAGTGGATAGGTGTTTTAAGAAACAGAGCTAACACTTACACAACAGAACGCATTGTATCTATGAATGTCAGATTCACCATATCAAGTGATTATTTCAAAAGCACTGCTTATTTCCCTTAAAGAAAGGGACATAAAAAAATAACAAATGGGACCTCATCAAATTAAAAAAGCTTTTGCATGGCTAAAGAAAATAACATAAAAATAAAAAGAGAACCAACAGTATGGGAAAGCATATTTGCCAATGATAACTAAGACTAGGTTTTGATCTCCAAAATATATAAATAACTCATACAACTCGACTCCAGGAAGACAAAAAAATCCAATTACAAAATGGAGAAAATACTTGAACAGACACTTCTTCAAGGAGGACATACACAAGGCCCAGAGACATATGAAAAGATGCTCAGCATCACTATCCATCATAGAGATGCAAATTAAAACCAGAATGTGATACCACCTTACACTGGTCAGAATGGCCATCATAAACAAATCAACAAACATGTTTTGGAGAGGATGTGGAGAAGAGGGAACCCTAGTGCACTGTTGGTGGGGACACAGGCTAGTGTAGCCACTGCAGAAAACAGTATGGGATTTGCTCAGAAAACTTAAAATGGAACTGCTCTTTAACCCAGCAATTTCACTCTGGGATTTGAACCCTGAAACACCAATCCAAAAGAACCTGTGCACACCGATATTCAGAGAAGCACAAATTACAATAGTCAAGTGCTGGAAGCAACTTATATGCCCATGAGTAAATGAGTGGATCAAAAATTGATGGTACATTTACACAGTGGGATAGTATGCAGCAGAAAGAAAGAAGGAGCTCCTACCCTTTGTGACTGCATGTATGGAAAAGGAGAGCGTTATACTAAGAGAAATAAGCCAGGTGGTGAGGGACAAATGCCATATGATGTCAACTTTAAATGGAGCCTAATTAATAAAAGAAGAAAGCAAGCAAAATATAACCAGAGACATTAAAATTAAGAACAATTTGACAGTAACCAAAGGGGAGGTGGGAAGGTATAGTGGGGGAAAGGGTATTCAAGAACTACAATAAAAGACACTCGTGGACAAACCAAGACAGGGTGTAAACAAGTGAGGGAGGTTGGTTTGGTGGGGACAGGGGGAGTGATGGGTAGAAAATGCAGACAACTGCAATTGAACAATGAAATTATTTAAATTAAAGGAAGCACTACTTATCTACAGACAAACATCTAGAAAGCTGAGAACACAGACATGCATTACTGCATGAGACACACAGAGAAGGAAAGTCAGTGTGAGGCAGGACTTACAGCTTCTAGCAGGAGGGGATGTGACCATTGATGGGCACTGAGCATCTCTCTACATGGACAACCACAGGAGCAATTACAGGTGGAGGGTTGGGCTTTTTTCCTGTTTCGTTTCTTCTTCCTGTAACAGTTTCCATCAGGCAAGCTCTCTGGTTTCCTGATTCTGTGCTACCTTCTGAATTCTCTGAGTTAGAAGTGCCTATTGTAAATACAGACAGCTTTGCCTTATCAACAAGTGGAAGAGTTGTTTACAGAAACTTTTGTGTGCAATTCCAATGAATAATCAAACTTTCTGACCCCTGTAGTTGAATATAACCAGAGGCTGTGCTGGACCCAACAGTATGGCACAGCCTCACAGAGCTCAGTTTCCAAGCTGGCCACCTGCACAACACATGCTTGCTGGGCAGTGTTCACCAGAGCATATGAACCCAACACCAGGGAACAAAGATGCCTAGTGCTGATTGTCATTGACTTGGCTCATTCGCAAAGCACCAGACGTGATGTAGCACCAGATGTAGGTTACATCACACAGAAGCAGGTGGACCCACAAAGTTTTGTGTGGATGCCCAGGCTCATGAAAAACCAAACCAATGGGGCATAGAATGTTTATCACACACATAGTTGAAATCTCTGGGAAGAACAGGAA